CGAGCCACCGGTAACCCTTCACTACCGGCCCCTTCTCTGACCCGTATGTGGGTTCTGCCGGTCACCGCCGTCCCATGCGCCGCTCGGCTGGCGCGGCCGCCTCTCCCCGTCCGGCGGCCTCTCGGTGTCGGCCCCGTCTGGCCGTGTTCTGATGTCCTAACCCGTCAGCGCCGCGGCCTCTCCGTCTGGGCGCCTCCCGGCTCCTCACGCCCCCCCCCCCCCCCTCCCCCTCACGTCGCGGACATGCTAAGCGGCTAACGGTGGGCGGTCGGCGGCCGGCCGCCTGCTGGACGGGCGCCGCTGCTAACCCAGATCGGGCCGCGCCATCTGTCGCCGCCGCCCGCCGCCGGCCGGCCGACCGCGGTCCGGTGCCGTCCCGCTGGTCCGGCGCCGAACAGTTACCGCTCGACCGGGCGCGTGGGTGGCGTCGGCAACGGCGGGCGACGGTCTTGAGCGCGCCCAGCCGCGAGGACTTAGTCAAGTGCTGGTGCCATCGGGGAGCACCCATAAGGCGTCAGCTCGCTTCAGCAACGTCTGCTTAATCCTTTCTCATAATTCTCTCACAATTTCATCCCTTCTCCTCGTGGTTTAAAAATGCGGAGTGTGTTCACGATGCTGAGGCCAACACATCGCTTGTGATAAAATCACCGAGACCTTCAGAATACTTAGCTTGGGGCGTGGAGTCTATGAGCCGGAAAGACACCTGCTGGTCACGGTCAGCTGTTTGCAACAAACAGGGCGTGTCGATGACGTTGCTGCCAATACGCCGGCAGAGGTCGTGGTCGGGCTTGAATAGGCTGAGAGGAATAACCGGGCGTCCGAGCTGAAGTTCAGACCTGACGCTCTGTCGAACTACAGAACAGCGACGCGAAAACTACCATAAAGCAAATGCTGTGATCGAGCCTGCTCCATCCAACAGACCTGGCATTCTGTTGGCAGTGTTTGTGATGTCAGCACACAGTTACTGTGTGCTGAAGCTATTCTGTAAGCTAAGCTAAACAGAAGCGCGGAGCTATTTCCTAACGTACAGTGCGGCAAAAGCACGAGAACGACGCTCAAGCTGGTGATGCGACGCCAGTCTACCGATCACCTCACGTCCCGTCCTCTCGCGCGCGGCCGACGCACCGGCGCCCCCGATGACCGCTCCTCGGCTCGTTGCTCCCGCCTGCCGCCGGGCCAGGCCACCCCGCGGACCCCGCCGCCTCGGGCCGGCTATGTCTCCCGCCAGGAGCGCGCCACCGCGCCTGCGGGGGAGCAGATCCCCGCCACCGCGTCTGCCACGCCCAGATAAATGAGCTGATAGTCGGCCGTCGCTGCCGGCGGCCGTCAAAGGTCCCCTGTGTCAGCTCCGACGCCACATTGCGGCAGCGCGGGCGCGCGCGCGTGTGGGCGCCGGCGGACGTGACGGGAGCTCGCCGGGCGGGTGTGAGGTTACCGCGCTGTGGAGCTACCGATCCGAGCTACGTGCGCAGAGGCCTGCGTAGAGCGCTCCGCGTTTACGCCCGTCGCCCGCCAGCTATGCCGGGCAACAAAATCCGGGATGAGAGCATCGGGAGCCCCGTAACTTTGAACAATGCTTGTAAATTACGGGATTCTTTACTGGTTCATTCGGTAGCTTTTGTCTTGCTGCGATTGTTTTCTTTGGGGTGAGACAGAGACGCGTGCACGATGAGACGTCCTCCGACACCTTGAGACGTTCTCAAGACGAAACTTGGCGCCTTGCGACGTGCCCGAATGGAGGCGGGAAACGCCGATCATTTTCGTAATGACAGTGGTTTACTTCTTGCATTGCGGGGAAGGAGATGCGCAAAATTGTGAGATGTCATGTGCAAATGATGTGCTGGATTGAATGCTTATCTTTGAAATAAGAAAGCCAGCTGGATCTAGAAAATACTGATACTTAAAATTTTAACAGGAGAAATATATTTGAAGTGTATTTCCCCAAGCCGTCAGCTGGGCTTCAGTTTCCCACGCCGGGATGTGACGCTAGGCTCGTCGAGGAGCAAACAACGCCGGCTCAGCCCACAGGCTAGCCTGAATTACCCATCCCATTGGTGCAGAGGAGGGGGAGGGTGTATTTTGGTCGGTGCGTTTGACCGCGATGTGACGCGAATCCCCTGCAGCGCGTGTCGCGTCCTGTTCGGAAACCTACGTTTTGGTGCACAGTTCGTTCTTGACGAGGACACCGACACTGACTCTGACACCAACGTAAACGTCTTTGGTCTATGATTCACTGGGCGAGATTCGTTCATTCACAAGTCTATCTCTTCACAAGAAGACCGTTCGCGGCTGTAGGAGATGGCGACACTGGGTCCGGAGACTGAGGTCGGATCGCCAGCCGCTCGTGCCTGGGCTGCCTGTAACTGACCTCGCGACAGCGACAGCGGGTCCCGACGGAGCTGCTCGCCTCGTGCGTTGTTTGCGATTTTTGTGCTTGTTCCACTGCTCAGCTGGCCAAGGGAAGATCTTGTTTGGTTGAGCTCAGTCTATCATCTCCAGCAGCGGGTTGTTTGGCTACTACATCAGTCACCGCTGCCGTGAGTGCGTGTCCCCTCGGGCGCACCGCGCGTTGTCTGTCAAGATTCTCCCGCCCGGGAACCGCTTGTTTTCAGGCCACAGCTCTGGTCACAAAGACATCCGTTAATCACCCAGACACCGACAGGTGGTTGCGGCTTACATTACGTGGTATTCCGTTTGTTTCGGGGTGCTTTCCCGTGCTGGAACCATCAGGCAACAATGTCTCATTATGGCCAACTGTTCCACAGCTTAAACATAACAATTCGGGTGGTCCAAACAAATGGTCCTCACAAATGCTAGAATGTAGAACGTGAACAACAGAGCACTCGTCGGTCATATGCACACCGTTCTCCATTCGCTGGCACGATCCTCGATGGACCGGCGTCAAAAATTCCCGTCTAGCGTCTCAACAGTGAGTTTAATTACCCTCGACCACGCATCATACAGATTATTACCATCATATAGATTCTTACCATCGATCACATAGGGCGTTGGAAAAGTGCCCAATGGGTTCCACTGAATCATCCCGTCGATTATTATGCGCACTGCACTTGCGGATACAGTTGCAGCGGGGCGTGCACATTGCACCCATTCCGCCGTCTGGTGCCGTACCGCTCGGTATGCAGGGTGACATCCATGAGGTCACGAGGTCAACCGGTTCATTGCGAAGCCATCTGCCGGCGCTCGCGGCAGGGGAGAGGAGAAGAAGACCTGTCACCTGTTGCAGTGAGACCAGATGGATCGAATTAATGTGTCCACGACAGCTCTCACGTGTGGGAAGCTTACTGAGGCGCGGCTAACCTTGGATTTTATGGCAAACCACATTTTCTCAGCTTTTTCTTGTCCCTCGTCGGGCCCTCAAGACCGCTCTGGGGTATTGGTGCTAAAAGACCGCATTGTATCCCAAGAAAAGGAAACTGAGAGATCGCTGAGAATCTGGCCTCAAAGCGCCAGTTGTGTTTGACGTGAAATTAGTGCCTGAACCGGTGAGGCCAGCCCATCCGCCTTGCTGTCCTCATCCACGCTTTATGCGGAGTTCCTGCAATGCCGTGTTCATCTTGTGCATCAATCAGCTGATCTATATAAGCTGCATTCATCAGCCATGAGCGGGCTTAGGTGCCTACTCGAGCGCCTGCACACACCCCGAGGATTCCTGTGCCTGCCCGGGGGTTCCTGTGCCTGTGCGGGGGGGGGGCCTGTTCCTATGTGGCCTGTGGGTCCTGTGCGAGAATCGGCAGCGGAGGACTTCCCAATGCATGCGGTCTTGCCCCACCACTTCTCTCCGCTCCCTTGCATCCCACGGTCCTGAAATGGTCACTGAAGGCCGAAAGGGCTCTAATCCAAACCAAGCAAAAGGGACCACTCCAGTCTTTACGTTTAGGGACGGGGGGGGGGGGGGGGTAATCATGTGGGCCGTGACCCACGCTTTTCCGTTGAAGTTTAAGGAATGCCATGTCATAATGCACGGAAAATGACCTTCAAAAGCGGGGTTGTTCCACCTCTTTTTAGCAGCGTTCTGACAGCCCTGCATTGATCTCGTTTCCACGACAGTGATCGCGGTATGGCAGAGGTCATTGTGTTAGCACGAAACTTATCACTGAGTCATGAAACCGGTCGCATCAACACCAAACTGATGACAGGACCGTATGACTAACCTTGGCATGATGGGACCGTCGCGTCAGTTAACTGATTCGCTGTCACGGAACGGATGACGTCACCATGAGACAGATGACGTCACGACGTCAGAAAATGTTATTACAGTAATGATAAACTATTTTATGATTGGGCATGCTAACGCGGTCATGAGATGGATGACGTTACGGGACTGGTTATGTCATTACGAGTCTGATCGCGTCATCGTCGACAAAGCGTCATCAAGGAATCCATCGTGAAGTCATAATATGGATCACGTGACCATGGTGTTCACGTGACCAGGGTGTTCACGTGACCATGATAATGCACTGATCGCGCCATCTGAACGGAAGATTGCACAGATGTATTTGGACAAAGGGAATGTCGCAAGGGGAGGAAACCCCGAGTAGCCTGACCAGACCCAGACGCGGCTCAGTCCCACGCGCCGGTGGGACTCAACAGCGCGGAACGTGAACAGGGCAGACAGACGTGTCTGAGCGGTGCTGAACTTTGGACTCTACCTTTCGTGAAAAGGTGGAGTCAATTTTGGCGATCAATTTTGGTTCCGGTGCACCTTCTCTGGATGGAGAAAGTCAACTGGGCCAGTGTTACGTGCCCGTATGGTACGTCGCCACAGCTAGCCAGTCGTGCTCCCAGCCGCACGTGCCCACCCCGACATGGCCTGTTGACCCGATCGGCCGGACCGGCTGACTCAGCCGGTGCGTGACGCACAGCGCTGCCACACCCGCCCGGACCGGCCGCCTCGGTCCGGCGGCCGTGCCGCCTCCGGCGCCGCGTCGGCCGTCGGCTTCGACGGGGTCGCCGCCGTCGCCGGCGCCAGTCAGCCGGCGGCCGGGGCCGCGCTGGGAGCGGAGGCGGTGCCGTGGCGGCGGGCCGACATGGCGGCCCCGCCCCTGGAGCGGAGCGGCACGTTCTCGGAGGTGAGCCCGCGCCGGTCTGCGCCGCCCGACTCTGTCGGCCCGCAGAGGCGTGCTCCGGGGAGCGAGGGAGCATTGATCAAACCGCGTGGCCGCTGGCACCCCGCCTCCGCTGCTGCCGCTGCCGCCGCCGCCGCTGCTGTGGCCGGGTCACTGACCGGGGGGTGTGGCCGCGCCGCGAACGGGTCAAGGTCACGCCTCGTGTGTCACCTCGTCTCGGTCACGGTCCGTGATTCGACGAGGACATCGGGGCGGTTATCGCTGCGGCAAAACTGCCGGCGCCGCCGCGTCGACCCGCCGGAATCGATACTGGCCGGAGGGCGGGTTTGGCGGGGTCGGGACGCCCGGCGGGCTCGGGCGGGGTCAGTCTCTGCCGAGCGGCCCCTGCCGCTGCCCGGCGCACGCGCCGCGTCCCGGCCGGGGGCGGGTGTTTGTGTGAACCGTGAATGAAACGGCGCTGAACGAGTCGAAATGTGTCAGCACCGGGTGGCTGAATGGAACAGGTGTTTACTGCTTCAGTTGGTTGGTGCTGTGGAGACCTGAATGGGCCTTGTTATGTGGCCAAAAATAATACGCATTTATGCCAGCGTAATAAAATTGTCGGAAATCAACATCGTGGAACTAAACGAACTCGCGCCCCATTGCGGCACGCTCTTATTATCACAGGAGCCCGCCCGAATCGCTCAGTGTACCGTGACGTCACGGTTCTGTCACAGAGCACGGCTCCCGATCCCCGCCTCTCCCCTGCGTCCTCCCCACCCTCCCCGGCGCCGCCCCTCCTCCGCCCGAGCGCGCGCGAGGCACGCGTGGGGAGAGGAGCCTCGCCGGCCGTCGACAGCCACATGGCGCGGGCGAGGCCACCGCCGGCGCCGCGCCGCGTTGCCCAACGTCGGCTATGGTCGGTATGCCAGCCGGGCATATGGTGAAAATGACGCACATAACTCGGCGGTTTCACCAGCAGACGGCGCGTGCGGGCGCGGCGGGGCGCCGGCCTCGCCGCGCCCGCGCTGCCGCCCGTCCAAACGCCCATCAAGTACTGTCGCAGAAGCGACGTGCCACGCCGGAGACGACCGCGGTGTCATTCCAGTCCCGTCGCCCCGCCCAGAGGCGGCTCGCCGCCCGCCCGAATCTCTCTCCTCGTGGAAGGAGCCGCCGCCGCGTCGGCTGCCGGTCGGCCGCGTCTCGCCACAGGCGGACGGCTGCGGGCCCGGTGACCCTGAGAGGGGCCGCGCCCCAGCCCGGTGCTGCGCAGGTCGGGGCCCGTGCGCCGCCGCGCCACTCACCGGGCGTCAGCGGGTGTGGAGCGGGCTGAGCAGCCCCGTGGGGGATGATCAGGGCCAGGGGCTGAGCAGCGCCGTGGGGGATGATCAGGGCCAGGGGCTGAGCAGCCCCGTGGGGGATGATCAGGGCCAGGGGCTGAGCAGCGCCGTGGGGGATGATCAGGGCCAGGGGCTGAGCAGCGCCGTGGGGGGGGGGGGGGTCAGGCTGACGACCCGCGGCGCTGCGCTCGGACGGCCCTGGCAGAGACAGGGTAGGGCGCGGCCAGCAACAACTCACCAAGCGGGAACCAGTAGCTTGGTTTGAGGTTTGCTGGGGGCGCTGCCCAAGCGAACTGATTGCCATGTTACTAACTGTTGCGCACTGATAACTACTCGGCTCCCAGCCAAGTATGGAACCATGTCTTAAAGCGGATCACTGGCCCTCACGAACAGGCCGGGAGCCGGTCAGGTACGATAAGGTCGACAGTTTACCAGCGTAGAGTAAACTGGTCTGAGGTCCGAGGGTCTGATGTCCCTGCCGCGGCGCCTGCGGGCCCGCCCGTCCGTTCCGTCCGTCCGAGGGTCTGATGTCCCTGCCGCGGCGGCTGCGGGCTCGCCCGTCCGTCCCGTCCGTCCGAGGGTCTGACGTCCCTGCCGCGGCGACTGCGGGCCCGCCCGTCCGTTCCGTCCGTCCGAGGGTCTGATGCCTCTGCCGCGGCGGCCTGCGGGCCCGCCCGTCCGTTCCGTCCGTCCGAGAGTCTGATGTCCCTGCCGCGGCGGCTGCGGGGCCGCCCGTCCGTTCCATCCGTGCCGTTCGGCCGGTCGGCGGGCTCGCCATGGCGTGCGGGCCGGCCCGCGGATGGCCGCCGTGAGCAGGCACGTCGGCAGTGAATGGTGCGGCGGGGGCGAGCTGTAGCCACGGAGGTACTGTCGGCGGGAGGTCCGCCATCAGAGGCCTCTGTCGGCCGGCCGATAATTTAGTCCCTGCCAGGCGCGAAGCTACAGAACGACGGGACTGAGCAGACAGCGGTGCCTGCTTCATCCAGACAGTCATGTCATCCCGCCTTACTGGCAGCATGGCGCGCTGTCCAAACTGCCTTGCGCTGCCCACTTGAGTCAGCAGGATGGCCGGCTGCCGCAGCGGTGTGGCAGACCGGCAGGGCTACCGTGCCTTTCTGCTTTAGTCAGCAGCAGGTTGGCTATCCCCCGCCTCAGCAGCAGGGTGGCCGTCCTCCCGGTTTGAGTCTGCAGCAGGGTGGCCATCCTCCCGGCTTGAGTCAGCAGCAGAGTGGCCGTCCTCCCGGCTTGAGTCAGCAGCAGGGTGGCCGTCCTCCCGGCTTGAGTCAGCAGCAGGGTGGCCGTCCTCCCGGCTTGAGTCAGCAGCAGGTTGCCCGTCCTCCCGGCTTGCGTCAGCAGCAGGGTGGCCGTCCTCCCGGCTTGAGTCAGCAGCAGGGTGGCCGCAGGGTGGCCGTCCTCCCGGCTTAAGTCAGCAGCAGGGTGGCCGTCCTCCCGGCTTGAGTCAGCAGCAGGGTGGCCGTCCTCCCGGCTTGAATCAGCAGCAGGGTGACCGTCCTCTCGGCTTAAGTCAGCAGCAGGGTGGCCGTCCTCCCGGCTTGAGTCAGCAGCAGGGTGGCTGTCCTCCTGGCTTGAGTCAGCAGCATGACGCACCGCCGGGCTCGTTACGCCGCTGGAGGCCGGCGCCGGATGCGTCCATTCTGCAGATGAGGGCCGGGTGCGCTCCGCGTGCTCGGCGGACGGTTTCGGCGGGTTCCGCCTCGCCCTCGGTCCGGTCCCGTCTGCTGCTGACCTGGGCCTCGGCCTGGAGTGGCTCCCGCCCGCGGCGTGATCCTGGTCTGCTCCTGACCTCGGTCGCAGTCTGAGGTGGCTGTGGTCCACGGCCCGGTTCTGGTCTGCTCCTGACCTCGGTCCCAGTCTGAGGTGGTTCCCGTCCGCGGCCTGGTCCTGTCTGCTCCTGACCTCGGTCCGAACCTGATGTGGCTCCCGCCCGCGACCCAATCCCGTCTGCTCCTGACCTCGGTCCCAGTCTGAGGTGGCTATCGTCCGCCTCTCCGGCCAGAACACCAGTGATGCTGACACTGCAGGCCCAGACCCGGTCTGGAGCCAAGAATTTTCAGCAGGCCGATATTCATCACAATGCTCAACCCAGCCTCACAACTTCCCGACTTGGACAGTCCGCGCGCTGCTGCACCGGCATCGTGGGGTGGGACGCGCTCACATAATTACTTCGTTTTCTGTAGGTGCTATGAGAACGCACGATGGCAATTAAAACGCGGAAAAGAGGAGCCTTTTGAAGTTTTGAACCGTAAAATGTATGCAAATGCATCATTTGGACTGGGCGCTGCGTTCATAACGGTGGACGGATAGTGGGTCTATGATTTCTAAGAAGCCCCGTCGCCTAGAAGAGTCAGCAAACGAGCCGCAGAAATTGCAACCAGAAATTGCAACCAGAAATTGCAACAGTGTGCACAGTGTCACCGGAAGGGATCATTGCGGTCATTCCGTGCGAAAGTGATCCCGAGCTGAAGGAGTGAGCGGACAGCGCGTGGCCTGAACGCCGCCAGAGCCGGCATAACTGGCAGACATCTGTCAAAACACGCGGCGTTGCACCCAGCATGTTGTGCTTTCGAAGTTCGGCTCCACAGATGTTCCGTTCTGACGGTAATGTGTCATTTACCCTTTTCCGTAATTATAACTTCAAAAATTGTCACTACTCTACGCTTGCTTTGCGACAGCTTATCGAACTTCATGCCATCCTAATACGCCTGCCTGGCAGCGTCGGTCATCAAAGAGAGAACGAGGGGGAGAGAGAGAGAGAGAGAGAGAGAGAGAGAGAGAGAGAGAGAGAGAGAGAGAGAGAGAGAGAGAGAGAGAGAGAGAGAGAGAGAGAGAGAGAGAGAGAGAGAGAGAGAGAGAGAGAGAGAGAGAGAGAGAGAGAGGGAGAGAGGGAGAGAGGGAGAGAGAGAGAGGGAGAGAGAGAGTGAGAGGGAGAGAGAGGGAAGGAGAGAGCAGCACACCACACCCCACGGCGCACGACTGCGCATCCAGAGCCCATTCGGCCTGCGGCCGCGTCTGTTGTCAGCGGCCCTGCCGGGGCCGCAGCGGAAGCCTGCCGGCAGCGTCGCGTGACGGGCGCCGCCGCCAGTTGCTCCCATGCAGCGTTCACATCCACGGCCACCCGCCACAAACCGCGCCACGGTGGCGCGAACGAGGTGGTCGGACTAGTGAACGCTGTGACGTCAGACCGCGCTGGCGCGGCCATGCGCCAGTCTGTAGCGGGCCGCCCTGGTGCTGCCGGCGCCGGGGTCGGGCCGGGGCGCAGCTGATTGGCTGCTGCGTGCGGTGCTCTGGGTCTGGCCAGTCTCTGATCGGCGTGGTTCGTGTTTTCCGATGGCGGTGCTGCCACCCGGACGCAGGTCACAGGTCAAGGCTCTGAGTCACGCGCTAACATCCGGGTACGGCAGGTGGGAGTGGCTTCGGTTTGTTGTCGGCGAATGCCGCAGCGTGTAAAGATCGGACGGTACGTCAGGGACCAAGACCAACGGACTTTGAATCAAGCCAGCCATTGGTGTGCGGTGGCTCGGAAGTTGCCGTTTTCTTGTATGTTATTATTGTTTTTTTGTGTAAGCAGGTGCGATGAAATCAGTGCCTTTCACGATAAGGTACATTTATCTGCGATAGCATGCGTGGGTTGTTATCGATTTTCGTTCACTGGTTTGTCCTCTTTATGTTACTTTATATTTTCTTTTCCAGATGTTTTAAGTTGAGCTCGCTTTTGGCCCAGTTGGTTCCCCTATTCCGGCGAACGGCAACGCACAGATGAAGAACAACCAGTCCCAAGTAAGTCTTATCAGATATGACAGTTTATTTTAAGATGTTTTCAATGTTCTGCACGTTTGCCGCATGAGCGCACATCTGTCACATAACCGGTGCCCTGCGGTTCATTTCACACAGGGTTTCAGCTCTAACTGGACCCCGTACCGTTTTCAGTTCTCCTTCCGGGGGGTGCGGAGCTCCAAGTTCCGGCACATTTTCGGCTCGCCGGCGCGCCGCGACCGCTCCTACGACAGCCTCAAGATCACGCGCAACGCACACGATGGCAACTTCTGCGCGGCCAACCCAAAGTTCGTGGCTGTCGTCACGGAGGTGGCCGGCGGCGGAGCGTTCGTCGTCATCCCCCTGGAGCGGGTACGTGTGTGTGTGCCGCCGGTGCCTGACCCGAGCTCCCTCCGCGCGGCGAGGAGAACACTGTCCGAGCAGTTCCCGCGTGGCAGCGAAAGCCATCGGGGCATTTATCACGGCGGCAGCAATGCGTCGCCGGCCGCGCCGGTCACGTCTCAGTCGCGCCGTCCCTTCACACGGCCGCGCCATGATTGCCGCCGTCAGCTGTCCGTGACATCCTCAGCTGACCACGGAAGAGGCGGCGGCGCCGCGCGACCGTGACACAAAAACCGCTACCGATTGTCGGCGCCGGCGGCGGCGCGGCCGGCCGGGGCGCGCGCCGCATTCGTCGCGGCCGGCGCGGGACAGGGCGCCCCTGCGCCGTCGCCCGGTGCCGGAGAAGCGCGCGACATGGGACCCGTTACCCGTTCATCTCGTGCGACGCTCTGGATAGACCTCCGGGACGAGGCGGAACGCCGGCCGAATCGGCCTCCGAAGCCGAGTGATGGAGGGCCCGCTGAGGCTGACCGGCCTCCAGCGGCGCTATTTCGGGTGGCGTTAGCGGCCATTAATCTTGATTCCGATAAATCTGGGGCAGTTCGTGCTGTTCCCCGGTGCCGTGAGGACATAATCATCCACTAAAGTGGTCCCGGTCGATGCATCGAAAGCGGCCAGAATGCGCGCTGGCCGGTCGGACTGCCTGTAGCCAAGCTGAACTTTCTGGCAATTAAGATAATTATCTCGCTCATCGTGAGGTGCCTTTATTTCGGCATTTGGAGCACTTTTCCATCGAATTCCTGAGATTGCTTCCGCTGTCTTTCCGATAATTCTCGGTCATCTAGGTCGCCGTCACTGACATTAGGGGGTAGTTTAATGCCACCAACTAATCGCGCTTCTTTTGTTTTCGTTTTGTACGATATCGCAGATCTCATTTTGATCCAGTGGGATGGTTTAGCAAGCCAACATCCACTGCGACGGGTATTGCTATGTGTTTAGGCTATGCGGACTTGTGAAGCACTCTACGCTTTCGTCTCCCTTGCTGTCGTTGTTGACCTGACCAAATCGCCCCCAGACGGGCCGAGTGGACTCGTCCGTGGGGCGGGTGGCCGGCCACTCCGGGCCCGTGATGGACATCAAGTGGAACCCCTTCAACGACAACGTCATCGCCTCGGGCTCCGACGACTGCACGGTGAGTAAGCTCGTCCTCCCCGGCCGACCGCACCCGAGCCAGCGCACCTCCCGACAGTCAGTGAGCTGGCCCTCCGGGACCGAGCGCACCCGAGCCAGCGTACCTCCCGACAGTCAGTAAGCTGGCCCTCCGCGACCGACCGCACCCAAGCCACCGCACCTCCCGGCAGTCAGTAAGCTGGTCCTCCGCGACCGACCGCACCCAAGCCAGCGCATCTCCCGACAGTCAGTGAGCTGGTCCTCGGCGACCGACCGCACCCGAGCCAGCGTACCTCCCGACAGGCAGTGAGCTGGTTCTCCGCGACCGACCGCACCCAAACCAGCACACCTCCTGGCAGTCAGTGAGCTGGCTCTCCGCGGCCGACCGCACCCGAGCCAGCGCACTTCTGACAGCAAAAACCGCTCAGCCCAACACAAAGCACTGCAGGCACACCACCGTCGAACACCGCTCCACAGTCCTCGAACGGCCACGCCCAGGCGTGAAGCAACGCGGTGTGTAATGGGATGACTGCGCCGGGCCAGCGGCGCGCCGTCGCTGGACCGGAGTCGCGTTGCCATCCGGGGAACGGACATTGCTTCAGTCCCACGAGATCCGCCGCTCACCGCTCGCCGCCGCTCGCTGCCGGGAGAAAGCCGGGCCGGGCGCGCGCGCCGCCGCCGGGCGAGAGGTGAACGCGGTGACATGTGGCGTCCATCGGGGAACATCTCGGGTGGATGACGATGATGTAACCCGGTCGCCGTCCGGTGGCGGGCTGCGGGGAGAACTGCCGGGGCGTGACGGCGGGCCACTTGGTGAAGCCCGGCGGGGGCAGACAGGAGAGACTCGGCCATAGATGCCGAGCGCCGGCGTGGCCCGTGTCGTGACCCACACTGAAGCTCCCGGCATCGGCGTGACCCACACTGAAGCTCCCGGCATCGGCGTGACCCACACGGAAGCTCCCGGCATCGGCGTGGCCCGCGCCGAAGCTCCCGGCATAGGCGTGGCCCACACTGAAGCTCTCCTTCTCCGGCGATGGGATTGCATGCGTTATGCAATGAACATGGTGTGGGCTGCTCAGCCGCAAAAGACGCTTGCTACGGGCATGGAAAGCAGCTATTAGTCTACGTCTGGCGTAAGTGTTGTGTTGCATCATTTATCGGAATTCATCAGGTTGAGAACCACCTATTACGATTAGCTCCCAAACCGCAAACGCGGTAGAATTCGGTGTATTTCGGTATTTCAAGCGGGACGGTACGCGCACGGGTGGGTCAGACATGGAGGCCTCTCACCTATGCGAGGGATTCGGCCGTCCGAATAGCACTGGTTGGCGCGTGGTAGGCGAAATGCCGGCTGGTGTTTTTGCCCACGAAGAAGGAAATATTGTATCAAATTATTATGCTTTATGAGGTTTACTCACGAATGCACGGCAGACAGCAGAAGACGGAATGATGGAAAGGCGTGGTTATGACCACATTGCGTGAGCATCGCTGCCCAGGTGTTGTCCCTGAGCGCCGCCTCCGGACGAGCTTCTGTGATCAGGCCACTCTAGTTAATGCCTTCCACGCGGACTTGTGCTTAGTTCCACTTCAGCAGGATCTACCTCCCCCTGACGCGTACCATATGGCGTTGACTAGACCCCGACTTGGAACATCTTCGCGCCACTAGATATCGCTCAATTTCGAAGTCGATTCTGACGCAAGCGACAACAGCTGTGATATGATTTATGCTGTAGGCTTCACAAAAACATTGGCGAAATCCTCGAGTTGATAACATTTAAGCGTGGTCCCATGCAAGAGGTCAGAGACCTGACTACATTGGAAATTGCACACTGGATTGTTTGACACTGCCGGAACAGATCGTTCCGGCTATCTGATACGGTCGAATTAATTCGGATGAGCATCGATACCGAGCAACTGAGCTGGCGAAAAGGTTAGAGGAGATTTCCGTCCGTCAGGCATATCATGTGACTCACTGTGCGTAGGTTGGCTATAATTGTGAATGTTTGGTGACGTGTCACAGAAAGACGCACATTGTGACAATGGTCGTTGCACGCGACTGTCTTTCGATGAACTCTCAAAACAGCCTGGATAGCATAGAACACGAAACCCGCGACCTTGCTGCGCTGGCTCAAATTTGTAGCCGTGATTGCTGGTCAGGTGTCCATCAGAGAGCGAATCAGCTTCCCCGTTCGGCGCATCCAAGCCTGCCCACTGATGAAACGATGCTCCTACCCACTATCGACAAATCAGATGACCTTTCCACGCACGATCAGTGTCACACAGCCGCCGCCCGCACCGCCTGTGCCGCAGGTCAAGGTGTGGTACATCCCCGACACGGGCCTGAACGGCAACCTGACCGAGTGGCTGGTGGACCTGCGCGGGCACAAGCGGCGCGTCAGCTACATCGACTGGCACCCGACTGCCGAGAACGTGCTCATCAGTGCCGGCCTCGACCACCTGGTGAGTGGCGCGCGCTCGTCGCCTAGCGCGGCCGTGGCGCCTCCAGCTTCGAGGCAGCGGACGGGGCGTTGCGTTTCCCTGGCCGGGTGGAATGTGTTACGGATGGAGGAGGAAGGTGAGATGAAAGAGGAAAGGAGGTGGGATAATGGGAAATTTGACTCGCCTATTGAATTTGACGCGGTTGTTAAGCGCGACAAAGTGCCTATTCACGGCGGCATCAGCGTGTCCAGCACCCGCTGCCATACGGTCTCCTGGCGTCTCATACGGCCCATCTAGCCGCGTTATCAGTGTCTTGACGCGTCTGACAGCCAGCAGCCACGGCGATCCTGGCAGCCATCACGGACGCAGCCAAGCCGTGCGATGGCCGCGCTAAAGACCGGTCACTAACCACTGCTCTGGGATGTCGTGGGAACGTGCGCGGCGCGCGATCCTGATGGACAGCGCCGAGAGTGGACCTGGCAGACACGCCAGCCGTCTGAAACGTGCTCCCGCCACCGAATCAGCTCCTGTGCACGCCCCTGGCCGTGATAATGAGCGCAGAATCATGGTCGGGTGGAGCCCGCCGTCCGCGTCGCTTGTGTAAACACAGATTATAGCAGCGCTGTGTCATGGCCAACCGGGGACGACTGAAGTGCTGCTTCCTTTGTTGGTCGCGACAACAACGCCCTATTTTTCTTACCAGCTGCAAGTAGCTCATCGATGGAGCCATAGCCATATAACCATCGACGATATTGACATAGCAGCAGGGCGGCACACGAAGGATGCGCGCACGCTCTCGGCCATGTTGTCTTGTTAGCACATATCATCCGCACATGGTGTGCAGGCAGGCAAATCAAATATTGGTGTCTGCCATATCCCCTGCCCCCATGCCCCTGCAAATCCCCAATGGTGCGAACGGAGTCATGGCGTCTCACCACTCAAAAGATGACAAAAGGCAAGAATTGTCACCTTTAAGGCCTGATCTTTGGACAGCTTGAGCGGAATTCGGAATCTTTCCCTGTCTCTCCAGCTTGGATTCCGGTCACCATATGCTCGATGTCGTTCAGGGTTGGCCCCCACTTCGATCTATTTTCGCCACCCCAGCTTTTGAATTATTTTGAAAGGGTTCAGGACAAAAGCGCCACTATTGGACCGTGACCTTCGACCTTCCGGCCAAATCACGATTCCGCCGCGCCGCCGCACCACGCCAGCGATCTGCGACCCGGCTGACTCAGCGCGCGCCACGCGCCGGCAGATAATCGTGTGGAACATCAGCAAGGGTGAGGTGATCAACGCCATCGACTGTCACCCGGACGCCATCTTCGGCATGTCGCTGAACCGGGACGGCTCGCTGCTGGCCACCACGTGCAAGGACAAGAAGCTGCGCATCATCGAGCCGCGCTCTGGCCGCGTTCTGCAGGTCAGAGGTCAACGCCAGGCCCGCGGGGCCAGCGCGGAGGTCACCGGCACCAGCATGAGACACCTGCCGCTATCAGGTGGTTCTCTTGCTGGTTTCCGACTAGGCGAGAGGTCACTGCGGGCCTTCTGCCATGTCAGTTGTCACCGCCGGTGGCCCGCGACCGGTCAGAGGTCAGTGACTGAGCTAAAGGTCACTCATTCACCGTTCATCGCACGTGCGGATGGCGGTTCGTCGATCCTTGTAGTCACTTTCTTTGTCGAAATGGTTGCCGCGTGCTTTCATTGACAACGGCTGTGACAGGCAGGTCACGCATGAATGTTCAGAGAATGTCGCGTTTGATCGGCAGTAAATGTTAATGGATCTGTCCGGGTTTCGCTTCTGAAATGGAATAGGGTCTTATGCAATTATATCAGCTACAAATCAGTCAGAGCACTATAAGAGCTACGCGCATGTTTATGAACTCCCCTATTTTGTTCATGCCAGAAATTTGATAGTTTTGAAAGCTTGACAAGAAAATGAGCAACTAATCAAGGCTAATTTAGAAGACTACAGGAGGAACCACTTTATTTCATCGTTGTCATTGTTGTCACTGGGGCCTTTCGATGTACTCCGCTGGTGAGACTGTACGGCGTCGCCTGCCTCTCATTCTCATAGGAAAGACGGGCACGAAAGAAGAGTCGGACACTTGACTTCATTATCAATATCAGAGCAAATTATATGTTTTGCGCTCCCAATGGTTAATTGTCAAATGTTGTGCCATTGTATCTGATTAATACGATAATCAAACACACGCATTATTGTTGCCGGTTAGAGGTCATAAATCAGCTCTTTGTCTTCGCAAGTTAGAGGTAATTAACCAGCATCTCAGATATGGGCAGCATTGTGTCAGGTGATTTTGTACAAAATGCCCGGTGACATCACCGTGCATTTTGGGATCTGCGAAAGAAGCCATTTCCAAAAAGAAAAACAATGGTTTTACCGTTGAGTTTCTGCAGTCTTGATGAATCTTTTTCTGTATTTAACTTGGTCCCTTTAAACGAGCCGTCATTTGCAATATCGGTATTGCTTTGTCATCAGCAATTGCGAGTTGCAAGAAGTGTTTGCAGAACAGACAGTAAGGCTCCACCATGCTGCAATCTTAGTTTGATGGTTATGTAAATCGCACCCTTTCACAAAATGACGTCTTCTGCCCTTCACACGTAGTGTTGCAATCATAGTTTGATACTTATATAAATCGCTTTCTTTCACGAGATAACGTCTTTCGCCCTTCACATGTTTCCGGTTTTTCATCTGAACTTCTAGCCAACTGATTGATTTTTTGACGGCCGTGGGTTCAACCCATCAGGCGGCTTGACACCCAGTTGGACACGTGTGCAAACATCGTAGTCCTTTGGCATCGACGCGTGTCCTCAAATTACCGCTCAAACACCCGCCACAACCACTGATGGACTTTGCGTCCTCTTCAGAAGCATACATGCTGGTGTTCGCTGCTGTCGTCGGTTTTTTAGACGCCCAAACTGCGCCAAAATGAAAGGCTAAAATTTGACGAAAACCTGGTCATCATACAAAGACCTAATGGCCTCGCATAGACCGCTTCGAGCATAGATCTTGTGATCGACGTACTGGACGCATCACACGGATATTCCCTCACAATGCCGAGCCGTGGGCGAAAATGCGCTGCATACCTCGGTGCCGCGGGTCACTACACCTCACGACGCTGGTCCGCCGTCGGTTGTGACCTACCCTGGGGACGATGTGGCCTGTCCTTGCCCACTACCGGATGTCACCTGTCCCGTCGCCAGTGTGACCTGCCCTGCCCACTACCGGATGTCACCTGTCCCGTCGCCAGTGTGACCTGCCCTGCCCACTGCCGGATGTGACCTGCCCCGGTGCCGGTGTGACCTACCCTGCCCACTACCGGATGTGACCTGCCCCGGTGCCGGTGTGACCCGCCCTGCCCACTACCAGATGTGACCTGCCCCGGCGGCGGTGTGACCTGCCCTTCCCACTACCGGATGTGGCCTGCCCCGGCGCGGGTGTGACCTGCCCTGCCCACTGCCGGATGTGGCCTGTCCCGGCGCCGGTGTGACCTGCCCTGCCCACTGCCGGATGTGACCTGCCCGGTGGCGGTGTGACCTGCCCTGCCCACTACCGGATGTGACCTGTCCCGGCAGCGATGTGACCCGCCCGTATGTACTACTGGGTGTGACCTGCCCCGGCGGCGGTGTGACCTGCCCTGCCCACTGCCGGATGTGACCTGCCCCGGCGGCGGTGTGACCTGCCCTGCCTACTGCCGGATGTGACCTGCCCCGGCGGCGGTGTGACCCGCCCCCTCCCCGTCGCCAGGAGGGCCAGTGCCACGAGGGCGCCAAGGCGTGCAAGGTGCAGTACCTGGGCGACACGGGCCGAGTGCTCACCACCGGCTTCTCCAAGTTCTCGGACCGACAGTACGCCGTCTGGGACGAGCGCCGCCTCAGCGAGCCGCTCCGCCTCGAGAACATCGACTCGTCGTCCGGCATCATCTACCCCTTCTACGACCCGGACACTCGCGTCCTCTTCCTGGCCGGGAAGGTGGGCCGCCGACAGGGGAGCCAGTCGCGACTCTCGTCGATGACTGCGATATGGGTTTGATTTGTGACGTACGGTCCGAACGATGCACAGGGGCATGGATGTCACCATGCCTTAAATGCTGCCAGGGCTCAGTTTTATTTTGGTGCAATGATATCTCGTAGCAGTGAAAAAGGGTTACGCACCTGTACAAAAGTGACATTCGTATGTGGTGTGGAAGTTGGGGTCATCGCCATAGTGCGATTACAGCGATAAGGCACGACAATGCGATCGCAGTCGATGTTTTTACGGCATGTCGTTTGGCTACCGAGTCCTTAAGAGCCTAGCTGACCAACACCAAATGGAAGGTGATCTTTGCTGCTCCCGTCATTCGCAACACATGTGCCCACGTCTAAGGGGCAGCCATGCCCGTCCTCCCCTGACCTGCCGACTCGGTGTCGTCCGACAGGGCGACGGCAACATCCGCTACTACGAGATCGTGGACGAGCCCCCCTGGTGCCACTACCTGAACCAGTACATCTCGGGCTCGCCGCAGCGCGGCCTGGGCGTGCTGACCAAGCGCGCCATGGACACGCGCCGCTGCGAGATCTTCCGCTTCTTCAAGCTGCACGCCACCAAAGATCTGTGCGAGCCACTCACCATGATCGTGCCGCGCAAGGTACGCCGCCGGGAGGAGGAGGCGGGAAAGTGTGCCATGGTGCGGGACGCATGAGACTCGGGGCGTTAGCCAGCCCAGATGGCTTTTGATAAGAAACGCGGCTACATTGGGGGAGGAAGAGACCTTGTATGCGCTGAAAGCCCTTCAGGCATCTCCATGACCAGAATGAAAAGGATCCCGAGTCTGAGATTCAGAGGCTTGCACTTGTGATCGCGGACAAACTGCACACGAACAGGGTCATGGAGGGGGCGATTGCAATTGATGACGGAGTGGCATCCGATGAAGTGTAATGGCAATGGCCCATTCCGTGCCGGTGTCAGAGCCGCCCGTTTCTCCGGTGACGCGCCGTGACCTGACACGCGCGCTTGCGTGTCTGTGCCGCAGAGTGACCAGTTCCAGGAAGACATTTATCCGGACACGGCGGCACCGACGCCGGCCCTGACCGCCGAGGAGTGGATCGCCGGCCAGAACAAGCCGCCCGTGCTCATGTCCCTGCGCACAGGTGAGGCCGCCGGCACGCCAACGTGTGGAAGGATGTGTAGAACGAATGAAGCGCCGCTGGAATGCTGTCTGCATGCGGCTCCTATCTGGTAGGGCCAGGACGCGATATGAGCCATCTGAACACGTGAAGAGTGAGAGGAGCGTTGAGCAGAGGGAGTGAAAGTGCGCGGAAACCAGATGGTGTAAACGTCTTGGTGTGCGGATCTTCTGAATGGGAAGGGAATGAACGAATGCTCGTGTCTCGTGCGCCGCGCCACATGTACGTGCTTTGTTCCTACTTTGGGCGAGCCGCGCGGTTTTTGCCGAAGCTTGCCCGCTACCTGGGCTATGAATACCCGGGCCCCTCCGGTCCAAGCAGAGCGAGGTGACAGAAAGAAAGAGTAATAGATGCTGCTGAATGTGGATGGGAGGGCGGTTTAAACCGTCCGCGCATAATGGTGTGTGAGATGCGTGCACGAATTTGTGCGAGTTTGCATGTGTGCGATGCAAGTGTAGAGCATTACCCCGTTTTGTGCGAACCAAATGCCCAGTTTTTTCGGTCATATTTATTTTATGATGTTTTTAATATTTGTTGAAGTTTTGGTTCCATGGTGGGAGTCAGAGCGATCACTGAAAGAAAGATACCCAAAGACATTCAGAGTCTTACCCATAGGCTCATGGATTGGTGTTGACTTGCACGTCAAATTTGACGCTTCTTTTCAGGCATCAATCGCTACCAATGCATTTTGGATGTAGTGTGGTTGCAGGAAAGACGAATTTGTTTCACAATAAGCGAGAGTCGTGTCGCGAAAGTAATTGTGGAATGGTTGAGCGTGTGTCACGCTCAGTCAGGAGTTCATGTCATTTATCACTATCACTTCACTATTCTGCCAGAATTTTGTTCAGCTGGATGTTCGTTTCATTTTATTATTTTCGTGTTATTTCGAATGAAGTATATCATTCCTCTGTTTTCCCGCTATAAAAAATTAGGCGTCGTACATTTAACGACTCCTGAATGCAGGCACACTTCTTGATCTTTTGGCATGGATCTGATGGCAACAGGCGACCCCTCCCCCCCCCCCCCCCCCCCCCACTGCGGCATGTCATCGCCTCTAGTGCCGCATGTGACCGGGCGCCGGTCTCACCCGCACTCGTGTGACCCGCGCCCTCGGGCTACAGTCGGCGTGCCCCCAGGCGTTGCGGTGCGCACCCACAAGCCGGTCGGCCTCAACCGCGCTCAGGACGGCCTGATCGCCGGCGACCGCAACACCGACCGCAAGTTCGCCTTCATCTCGTCCGGCACGCGGCCCGACTACCGGCCGCAGCAGGTGCGTCACCGCCGGCGGCGGCGTCAGGGCAGGCGCCGGCGGCCGGCCGGGGGCGGGAGAGTGAGGCGCTGTGAAGACGGCGACGCCCGTGGACGCACCAAAGTGGACGGTTTGCCCCGCCGCGTTGTCGGCGCTGACGCAATTTTGCTTTGTTGACTTCGACGACGGCTTGTGTGCTGCTTTGTTGACTCCGACGACGGCTTGTGTGCTGCTTGGTGTCCAGCACAGTTGTGCGGTTTACTGGACGAGCTAATGAGACTGCGCCGCGGCCGACCTGACGAACTAACACCGAATGAACCGCATTACAGGAGAAAAACAACAAAACCAACAAAGAGAACGTGTCCCCTCGTCCGAAAGCTTCCCGCCCTGGCCCGAGTGCCGCCGGTCCCCGCTCCCGTATGTCCAAATCCGTCTCTGAGAAGGACCTCAGCCGCTGGAAAGCCGACCTGACCATCAGCGAAAAGTCGGGCAAAATCAAGGAGATTATCGAGCTGCTGGAGCGTCAGGCGCGCGCGCAGATTCTGCGGGCCTCCGACTCTCGGCTGGTAAATCACGCGCCGGCCGCTCGGTGACGGCTGGCACGCCCTGCGACGGTCCCAGGCCCCGGCGCGCGCACCCCTGGTGACGGCTGTCTGCTAGGTCTGACTGCTTCAGTCAGCGCTGCCCTGTGCCCAGGCTCCTTCGACCTTGGTGTAGTGCCACAGCATAGTCTGTCACGATCACCTGTCATCTGTCTGTCACGGAAAGTGGTGGCGGCTGAGGAGTCACTCCGCTCTGGCTTCGGCTCGTGCTGGATGAGTTCTTCATATTCAAGACTGACTTCTGTAATGTGTCGCAACGTGTATATCATTTAGGGAAACTTTTGAGTGGGGCAAATGAACGATTTGAGCAATGTAAGCTGAATTGCACTTCGTCAAGCAGCCACAAAGCACCATATCATCTCTTCTTGTTTCTCCTGAACGCGAATAACCATCGACCGTCCTCGATGTTTAACCCAGCTGTCCAAGGACTTAGCGGACTACAGCCACACTTCTTTCATTTCCTGCTCTTCATGAAAATTCGCTTTTTTCCCTCGGCGCCGTCTGGCGCGCGCACTCACCTTCAGCACGCACACGGGCGTGGACAGCGAGCCGTCGGCACACACCCGCGAGCTCGCCACGTGCACCGGCTGACCGCGTGACCCGTCTGTGACCTGACCTGACCCGTGGTGCGTAGGACACCTCTGAGGACAGTGGCGTGACTTCTGCTGACTCTTCTGACGAACCAGCTGACACAGGGGACGACGACCTTGACAGCGACGACCGCCGACCGCAGGTGCGAGCCCGAGCACCCCGCGCGCTTCACTGCTCACGACAGGCAGCATGGGTGCTGGCTGGGACTTCGCACAACCGTTGGATGGGAACGCTCCGAGAACGCTAGTGTTACAAGTCATGTTCGTTCGGTTCTGTCTTTCAATGAACTGCCGCTGATTGCAGACGCTATGGGCCATGGCGCTTGCATAATATATATATATATATATATATATATATATATATATATATATATATATATATATATATATATATATATGTGTGTGTGTGTGTGTGTGTGTGTGTGTGTGTGTGTGTGTGCGCGCGCGCGTGTTTACATATATATATATATATATATATATATATATATATATATATATATATATATATATATAAGCAGTATTCTAATTTGTGTGATTAGGATTACACCTGATATCTAGTGAACGATCGCATCATGCACAGCAATCAGTGGATGACCGTCAGAACACATCTGCCGCCGATTGGTTGATCCAGATCGCCGTTTTTTGTCGCCTGTCGCCCGCACAGCGTTGCACGTATGACTCATGTTTCAGGAACGACTAAACGATGCGAACAAACCAGCGTCCAAGTTTCAGCAGATCCAGCAGATGTGGACTGAGCAGGTAATACAGCTGGCCGTCTGACACCGCACGTCACTGCCGGCACAGAAACTCCTGACTCACAGAGCGTCGTCAAACTCCTGACTTACGGAGCGTTCTCACACAAATCCGTGACTCACAGGACGTCGTCACACAAATCTCCGACTCACGGAGTGTCGTCGCACAAACTCACCAACTCCTGATCCACGGAGTGCCGTCCGTGCGGGCGCCACCACGGTGCCGTTAAGGGCGGCCTGCCCCCGGTCAACGACCGGGGAGTTGGCAGAGTTCTCGCCGTTCTCAGCCTTCGAGTCGTGTTCAGCGTGTTCTGTCCTGATGCGCGCCATGCAGTTGTGCCCGCGTGACCCGCGTGAGCTCACAGTGGTCGACCCTGGTCACTATTCTGTGACCCCACATGACCTGTGTCCATCCTCAGCAGCCGACCGGCCGGAGCCCACCGGCGGCCGACTCTGACCTCGCCTGACCTGCGTCCATCCCAGGAGCCGACCGGCCGGAGTCCACCGGCGGCCGACTCTGACCTCACCTGACCTGTGTCCATTCCCAGGAGCTGGCCGGCCGGAGTCCACTAGCGGCCGACTCCGACCTCACCTGACCTGCGTCCATTCCCGGGAGCCCACCGGCCGGAGTCCACCGGCGGCCGACTCTGGCCCGACCTGAATCTATCCTCAGGAGCCGACCGGCTTGAGTCCACCGGCGGCCGACTCTGACCTGACCTGCGTCCATCCTCAGGAGCCGACCGGCCGGAGTCCACCGGCGGCCGACTCGGGCTATCAGTCGATGCCGCTGAAGTCGTGGAACGGCCTGCCGAGCGCGCCGGAGCAGCTGGGCGGCCACCGGCCGGTCACGGTCACCCCGGCCCGCCCCGAGCCCACCCATAAGGCAGAGGTGGAGGTCAGTCGCCACGTCTGGTGCTGGCTGGCCGCCTGCCCTGGCAGACGAGGCTCTGGGGTGACGGGCGGCGCCGGAATGTTGTGGTGTAGTCAGCGGGTGAAACCGCTGCGCAGCGTCATGGTTTGGCGTGGAGTGGAACCGGCGTTCAGAGTGGATGGCTGTTGATTATTTGGCCGTTGATTGCTCAGTCGTTGATTGCCTAACCGTTAATTGCCTAGCCGTTAATTGCTTGGTCGTCATTGTCATCCACTAGACTTTGTTTGCGTAACACGAGGCCACAAAAGCTAGTCGCGTGGCCGAGTTAATTTGCCTCCATGGAATGCATGCTAATTGCTATCATATATTTTCTCTCATTTTCCATTCTCCATTCCTTCCTCACCTAGGTTCGTGCGTTCATAATTTGGGAGAACAATTTTAGGTATTAAGCGGGGTGTGGAGGCTGCTTGGTGTGTTACAAGGTTTGTTGGCTGCAACGCTTACTGAACTAAGGCCGATGTCAACACGGTAAACGAGCAAAAACATGTTCCCATGTCGCGGTTTTTCTTCACAAGCCATGCAATTGGCAGAGACTGTGGCGCCCTCTTTTCTAGCTCCGTAAGCGGTACGCAGAACAGGCCGAAGAGATCAAGCAGCTGAAGAACATGCTTAACATCAAGGAGCAGCGGATCAGGGAGCTGGAGGACCAGCTAGACAACGTCCTGAAAACACAGAACGAATCTACAGCGTGAGCCGCGCCCATTTCGTGATATGTCCGCCTAGAAATGAGTCGTGGGCCGCGCGTCAGCCAGCTCATGGCCCACAGGCTTCGCGTGCCACGTGGTTTGGTACCGGTCGGGCCAGATCCCCCGCCTGGGGGAGTGCCAGTGGGACGTGCTGATGAACAGCGAGAGGTCACCACTGTTCGAGGTTCTGGCGAAGGCTGCCAGAGACAGACAGTAGTGCGTCGGTGCGATCGCTTCTTGCGCTTGAGCGGCCGCTTAAGCGTAAGGAAGGTGGTCCTTGATGCCACCTCGCTGCGCAAGCAATGTGCAACAGCTCGCCACCGGTTATAGACGGTGGTACGGAGTTACGGTTTCGTTTTTTATAGAAGCGGCATGCGTGTGTATGTGTGCGCTGTGATGGCGCGTATCCGTCAACATCTCAAAAGATGAACACGAAATGCCAGCTTACGACCGGCTTTCTATTGCATTCATGCTCTGGGTTTCACCGGGCGGAGACCGTGCCGTACGGGCGAGGACAGAGGACAGGACGGCACAGACCGCGGTGCGCACCTCCGGCGAGAGAAGTGGGGCGTCACGAACATGCGCCACCGCTTCGGTCCGCAGTGATGCGGTGATGTGACGGAGAGGGCGGACGGTCGGTACGTACCCCCTGCGCGGCCGCGGACGCGGCGTGGATGAGAGGAATAATGTATTTAAACAGAAAGCGCTATCAGCTGCTGTGATATCTTTTAGGTGCTGGTGTTTCTGAAATTTGAAGGCGCTCCAGAAAATACCGTATAAGCAGAACATGGATGCCTTGCCTCTGCGGCAGCACGTGAAAAGCGTATTTACGTTTAAGCCTCCATCGCTCCTGTTGCTGTATGAACGTTTCTGTATTATGTCAGTGACGTGACCTGTGTAGCCACTAAGCTAATCGCATGGGGGCCAACACCATACCGCGAAAACCTGTCGGGTGGGTCGAGAGGATTTTTGGCGAACAATATTACATGCCCTTTCAATCCTCAAAATGGGGCACGTTGTCGTGAACTATGACCTATGTACTCGGTGCATGTCCGGGATAACATGGCCATACAGTGGGCCCATATACTCGAGGTCATGTCGCGGCCTTACCATTGCTGCCTGTATTGAGTGGATGTCAATGTGGAGGTGTGAGCGCATGTTCGGCGCAGCGGCGAACGGCGCAGGCGACGCACAGGGCCGATGGGCACGCAGGCGTGCTCGTCGCACCGAGTGACGAGCGTCCTGTGACGTCATACCATCGTGTGACGAGCGTGTACAATATATTAATCCCGCTGGCGTACTGGGCTACTGACGGCGGGATGTCGCGGGGCGGCGCTGCAACGCTTGGCTACAGCTGCGAGGGTACATGCTCTGACCACGGCGTCGGCTGTTCAGGTGTCTCACACTACAAACGTAAGAGATCTTCTGGCTGATGATACTGGCAGCTGAATGCGCTGCGACACAATCCTAACGTTGCTGTGAGAGGGTGACGCCGCTCATCGAATGGCAGGTACACCGTTCAGGCGGTTTAAGAGTTTTACCTCCATGCACTTGCTTGAGAACTTGGCGAAGTCACACATTCCCAACGTTTGTATTTGACGAGCGTCATGACACGCAGAAATATTCGATACCTATATTGACCAGCGATGTAGTACATTCACGCACACGGCAACACGTATTGCAGGCATATTTTAGCTTGAAACTGGGTACTGTTTGTCGAAATCCGCGGGGACAGGCGTGCCGGTTTCTTTAGCCAGATACAGCATTTGTTCTGAAACAGACATAATAGTGTCAACTCCAAAACTCTTCCTCCACTGCCCACTGCAGAAACATACATCACTCTTCGAAAGAGGTAAGTTCCATAACATCTCACACCAAGAAATGCTAACAACACCTGCAACACTGGCTCTAAAGGTAATTAGTTACAGGTTTCCCACCAGCAGCAAATATCCCTATGACAAATGCCACCAGCACTCGTATACCATCACTGCCACCAGCCAGCTGGCATCAAGGCAGTGCGGCGGCAGGAACATACCCCTGTTCTGTACGGCGCGCTCCTTGGCCAGCTGGGCGTCGCGGACGACCTTCTGCTTGGCCTCGATCTCGCGCAGCTCCACCTCGCGCTTTGACAGCGTGTTGTAGTGCTTGGACCCGTACAGGACACCTACCAGCAGTGCCGACCACCGGCCAGCCTGCAGGGGAAAGTGATCTGTCATTACTGTTGCTCCTGCTGTTGCTGTCCATGATCAGTACTGCTGCTCCTGCTGTTGCTGTCCACAATCAGCACTGTTGCTCTTACCATAACCTGATTGATATTAGCATAAGACAGGAGAGGAACAATGGGTGGGACAGCATAATGGAAAAGTAGCTGTTACCCTCAGCTCCTATATGTGGACTTCTGGGTGAACCACAGGCTTTAAAGGGAGTCTTCACATTTGAATAGCATTTTTAAACTGAAAAAGCCATATTATACACCATCTGGTGCAGTTCACAGCCCTATCATCGCTATGACCTAAACCCCTCTAATTTTAGAGCTACATGCCCAAGAGCATATGCTAATCATTTTGTGCAGACTATTTCAATGTCATCAAGGTTTTTTCATTGACCATTAGTGATCAGGACCCATAAAAAGACAACTATTGAATTGTTTGCATCTGACATTCATGAGCACCATTTGCAGACATAACAACCATCAATTACCTCTTGACCTATACTGTAAAAGGTATTATTAGGCAATCAAACAGTGACATATTGGATGACATATTTAGTGAATGGACAAACTGTGTTGTATAGAGCAGTCTTCTCTACTTAAAAGTATACCAGCTGGTATCGATGGGCTTATTTCATCAAAACTGATGGTTGCTTTAATATCTTAAATTTTGGAGCATTCCTTTACCTTTCTTTAACCACTAATATGGCCACTAAATACACTGTAATTGAGACATGCACTGATTAAAATATGCAGACTATTGTATGCAGCTAAACAGTAAATTGACCTTAAATTCAACATATTTTGCCAACACGGGATGTACATGTCACAGCACACAATAGATAGTGAAACCATAACTTCATAAATGTCAAATACCTCAGCAGAAAAAATTAGCATGCACACCAGCAGAATAACATTTTCACTATATTCAAGATATCAAACCCCCAATGAGCCCATACATGTCGCACACTGAAAACATAACGCAAGAGAACAAGACACCTCCGGGACGCGGCAAAGCTGACGCACAAACCATGCAGGATGGAACAGCTCTGCTTGCCATAACGACCCCACGAGTTACCTTGATCAATGGTGACACTCGTACTGGGGCTTGGGAAGCCATCGCGCTCCGCGGGTATGCAATGCACCCGATTCCTGCAAATAATTAACGGAGCCACCAGCGCCGGGAACGAACAGCACGGGGGAAGAAAATTTGGGCTGTTGTAGGCAAATCAGTATTTACATAAATTTTCAGAGATTGCTTTGGTAAATCTGTCGAATTTGCTTACAAAATTTAATTGAGTTACTTCAAAATTATAATTAAATTTCTGCCAGTTACCATTTTCTCTAACCAATCAAGTGACTTTCATAAAGATTCGGTCAAAATATTATATAATTTCTTGTTATGCTATCACTGCTCAGGAAAACATTTTATACAGTTATGGCGGAGCTGCTTCATTCTGAGACATTCGGGACCAAACGCCGACCAACGCTTGTCCGTCCCGCGCGCTGGCACGGTGTGCAGCGTGGATTGATCGCGAGGAGCGGTGCTAAGGTTTTATTTTCGGATTCGACGGCTGAAGGTAAGGGGACCGAGTTAATCGTTGAGCGTGGCTCTGTAGCCAATTCATTTGGTCTTATTTCATTAACCTAAAACTACCTGCTGATGTCTTGATGGCTGAATGCCTATGGCATTCCCTGATGGCACGTCCATCAGTTGTGTTTCTTGTTTTTGGACATTTTTCAACACTCCATTCCCTACGCTGTTTAAATCATTATGACCCAGAAAGCAACGCCTGTTTGGGTTCTAATTGCGTTAGAGATATGACTCGAATGATGTGCTTGTTTCTTGTTGGAGGAATCCGGTTCAGTGATGTGTGCAATGCTTGCAAGTATCCCACCATTCCAGCCTTAAGGGATCTTCCATAAATAACATGCATATTTGTCATTTTTGAACTTACTCTCCATCCCTGGTTACATGCTGGTTATGCTTTCAAAAGCCCACCTTTGCTGTTTATGTCGTGTCTCACATATTTTCCTTAAAGAGACCATGTTGGGTTGGCATAATTGAGCTAGAGACATGAACTGATGATTGGTGTGTAGCTTACCATGATAAGAAGACAACAGTTTTAGACTCTTATTGTGTGAAAGATAAGGAAAGATATCAGAACATGGTTGACAGTACACCTAAATGAAATCTTGCACTATTCAGGCTCCCTCTTCTTCCTTCCACTGTCACACTTTGGTTACACTCTGTCAAAAAACCCTCTCCTCTCCATATAGAATGCAATGTACGCATGGATCCAAAGGCCAGGTTTTCCCTAAGGCAGAGGCTAGTGCTGTTATGTAATTTTTGCTGATTTTTATTTCCAGTCAAGTATTCAGTATCCTGGGAAATTTTGGGTTGGTTCGAGCATGGCCAAAAGATACCAAAGCATTGTGCAGTGATATATATATATATATATATATATATATATATATATCCACAGTCATGATAATCAATAATGTTTGGTGCAATGCAGCATTAATTGCTCTATTATTGTGGGTTACAAAAAAACAGTGGTCAAGTACCCTGTCTGAAGCCATTTATGTGTGTATGCTGAGGTTACAATTATCATTCAAGTATGTTTTGCAGGCTGTCTCATCTTGCATCTCATCTTCCAATAATAAGGTTATTGATTTCCAGGTGCTAAGCAGCCATGACTTGTGATGCTTGGTTTTTGTCTGTTCAATATCCATTGCTAACCACTTGCCCCAACAGGCCCTTCTCATCAGACATGTGTGCAGCAGTGTCAGCACAGGAGATGCTGCAGGCTGCTATTCAAACAAAGGTGGTCCCAAATCAGGTACATATGTCAGTTATTTTTTTAGTTATTTTTGCACACACAGGAACAGCACAGTAATCCAGGTGTCCTTGTGAGATCTGGCATTATGTTTTATTTGGGTGATGTTCTATGTGGATTTATTTCTGCAGGAAATAGTTCATTTGTAAGCAATAAGATTAAGATGCTGTTGGGGATGACAAGTGTAATCCATTATACACCTTTAGAATATCACTGCATAATGAGCTTATGCTGATTTGTTCTATGGATTTAACGTGACATGAAGGGAGTGATGTCACCTATGCCATGCTCCGAGTTGTAGTGTGTTTTTATGTTATGCAATGCAGATGCAAAAGTTGTTAATGCCATTATGAAATCTGCCCAAACTTGTAAATTCAAAAGGATTGATTCAAATTTGAGGCTTGGTATGGTTTATTTTCATACAATCTTTGCATACACTCTGGAAAAATCCAGCGCATGTTGTCCACAGACAACTTGTCAATATTCCAGGAGTACCTGCTGCAGGGTAGTGTTCTAGACAGCGCCAAAGACGTGCTGATCCACCGCCTGCGCGGTCTAGCCGACAACGTGGACGAGCAGGTGGAGACGTTCCACGACCGCGAGAGGGTGCTCACCCTGGGCCCAGGTCAGTCGCCCTCCAGGCGCGCGGCAACTGGGCCAGGTCGCGATGTACGGCTGCCCTTCAGCGTGCTTGACACATCACTGCACATTGCTGTCATCTTGCGAGAGGGACCAGGCTTGTTTGCAGCGTCGCTCTCAATGTCCGGTGTGAGTTCTCATACTTGGTGGTAGAGTGGGCGGTGGTGGTATAGTGGTTAGAACGCTTGACTATGAACCGGTTAGTCTTGGATTCCAGCCCCGGCCACGCCATCACCGCATCCCACGTGAAGCCTGGTGAAGGCATCCGTCTCGAAATGGCCGTGGAAGTTGGTGAGACAATGCCGCAATCATTATTATCTCACACTTCGACCTAGCCTGATGTGATCTCTCTCAATGTGACCACGTCTTCACCCGACTTCCCCCCCCCCCCCCTAATCAATATAAAGTAGCCTGACACCTCCGAGGCCTCGGACCCCCGCTTTGCTCGCCGTTCGGTGACTTGCCGCGGTGATCCGTGCACGGGTGACGGCGGCGTCGGCGCGCGCTGGCTGACCCGTCCGGCCGGGGCTCCACAGCGGGCGGTCAGTCGCTGACGCTGTACGTCAGGCAGGCCGTCGACCATCCGGACGTGCCTTGGACCATGCGCTACATCGGCCAGCCCGAAGTGGGTGAGTGGATGCGCGACCCGTGAGCAACGCGAGACCGCCCGCGACTGGGGCGGCGACTTGACAGTTGCCGGTGGAGATGTGCTGTGCAAATCGTGGGGAGTCTGTAGAGCGTTCTTTTGATGCTGATGCCGACCTAATTTCACTGCTTAGAGCTTCACTTCTTACGCTTTTGCCGCTTGGGCTTGCTGCTCACCTTGTCTGTTTAGTTTTTACTTAGCTGCTGAATATTCTCCCCACCGTTGAAAACTGCAAAAAATGTTTAAAAGAATGTTGAAATGTGTGAGCAAATCCCACATTGGCACCGTTAAACAGCATGACGGCGGCGTGGTTGGCGCATTTATGAAATTTGCAATGCGTTGCTTGCATTTGGCGTTATTCGCAGTGGTTGATGGATCGCGGGTTGTTCCCAGGTGACAAGAGCCGCCCGACCGTGCTGCGAAACAGCATCGATGTTGGCTGCACCCCGAACGTGCTGGAGTTCCTCTCGGAGATGGGCTTCAAGCAGGAGTACGAGTACATGAGCAAAGGCTTCATGTTTCGCAAGGGACGTATGAAGATTCTGGTCTACAAGATATACAAAGTGAGCACTGTTGTTATGTTCCGCGCTAACTGGCGGCGCCGCTGCCGCCCAGGCGCCGGACCGACCGTCGCCGCGTGGCCCAGTCCTGATCCCCGGTCGTATGGGGTGGCCCCGAGCCCGGGTAGGCGCCGGCAGGAGCTTGGGCGCGCGGGACATCGGGCCACGTGCCCCCCCCCCCCCCCCCCCCCTGTAGGGCCCGAGAAGCAATCGGGGCCTGCGATCATGTGCCGGTTGGGGGGCGCGAAGGCCTGGTTGGGGTTGTGCTAAGGGATTGCGGCTGTAGGGTGCGGTCCTCGCGTGTCAGTCAGTGAACCCCTGACCTGCCACCTCAGAGAGACCAGAGGGCAGGCGTCAGCAATAGTGAACAGGCCGGTCTGTGTCACGTGCGTCCTGGGGTTCCGGTTCCCAAGCGGGGTCCGCAGGGTCCCGAGCTGGCCCGCGAACGCTGCTGAAGGCCTCTGCATTAGTGGGGGAGGGAGCGGGGGAAGAGAAACACAGGGCCCACGACGTCTAAGGGAAGAGATGTACCGGCAAGGGACCCCGAGTGGACCAGCGTACATTCGCTGAACATGGACAGGAAGGGGTCCCGGAACTCAGACGGCCTGTGTTATGGTAGGACCCGTTTGCAATGGAAGGAAACATAAGAAGTGTAGATGACAGGGTCGACATTAATGCCGAGGTAGCTGAGGGACCCTGTGTCAGCCGGTGATCTCAGCACTGTTTGCCTACCCTTGAAGGAGCCACGCTCTGACCGGCATCTGAAGTGCTCGGAGCGGATCTGCGTTGTCACCGTGTGCAATATCTGCTTCAGCCGTGCTATCAGTGTCGACTTATTCCTGGCTGCGACCGCGGCCGGCTTTGTTCGTGTTAGCCGTGCAATCACAGCTGTTTGTCAGCCGTGCTCGACGCGTTGTTGACAGAACACGAATGGCTGTTTACGCGCTCGATGGCCTGTGTTTACGTCTCATCTCGCACGGTCATCGGCTGTTTCCCCGCAGCGAGTTCTTGTCTCGGTCTAAACGCGGCCACCGCCAGGCGTCACCCGCCGCCATGCTGCATGTGATCCGATAAGGGGAGTGCGCGGCGTGTTTTTCCACGACGTGACGTGCAGGCCGCGATGTGCGCACGTTGGCGGCAGGGCGGAGTGGGACGATGGCGGCAGAGCAGTGTGGGACGATGGCAGCAGGGCGGAGTGGGACGATGGCGGCAGAGCAGTGTGGGACGATGGCGGCAGGGCGGAGTGGGACGATGGCGGCAGAGCAGTGTGGGACGATGGCGGCAGGGCGGAGTGGGACGATGGCAGCGGGGCAGAGTGGGACGATGGCAGCAGGGCGGAGTGGGACGATGGCGGCAGAGCAGTGTGGGACGATGGCAGCAGGGCGGAGTGGGACGATGGCGGCAGAGCAGTGTGGGACGATGGCAGCAGGGCGGAGTGGGACGATGGCGGCACGGCGGAGTGGGACGGTGGCAGCGGGGCAGAGTGGGACGATGGCGGCAGGGCAGAGTGGGACGATGGCGGCAGGGCGGAGTGGGACGATGGCGGCAGGGCAGTATGGGACGATGGCAGCAGGGCGGAGTGGGGCGATGGCGGCAGAGCAGTGTGGGACGATGACAGCAGGGCGGAGTGGGACGATGGCGGCACGGCGGAGAGGGACGATGGCAGCGGGGCAGAGTGGGACGATGGAGGCAGGGCAGAGTGGGACGATGGGGACGATGGCGGCAGGGCAGAGTGGGACGATGGCGCAGGGCGGAGTGGGACGATGGCGGCAGGCAGTGTGGGACGATGGCAGCAGGGCGGAGTGGGACGATGGCGGCAGAGCAGTGTGGGACGATGGCAGCAGGCGGAGTGGGACGATGGCGGCAGCGGAGTGGGACGATGGCGGCAGGGCGGAGTGGGACGATGGCGGCAGGGCAGGGTGGGACGATGGCGGCAGGGCGGAGTGGGACGTGGCGGCGGGGCAGAGTGGGACGATGGCAGCAGGCGGAGTGGGGCGATGGCGGGCAGGCCGGAGTGGGACGATGGCGGCGGGGCAGAGTGGGACGATGGCGGCAGGGCGGAGTGGGACGATGGCAGCAGGGCGGAGTGGGGCGATGGCGGCAGGGCAGAGTGGGACGATGGCAGCAGGGCGGAGTGGGGCGATGGCGGCAGGGCAGAGTGGGACGATGGCCGGCGATCAGCCCGCTCCCGTCCCAAATGGCGGCCCCGTGAACAGATCGTGACGCGCACGTGATGCGCCACAAAGCCACGGCTGTGGCTGTGGCCACAAATCAAGGATTAGGGTGGCAAATTCTGTACTGTCGCCTCTCAGATTTCACTGAAATTTGGTCTCCGCGCAGTTATCTAAAGCGTAGAGCTCTACCACCATTTTTATGCCTATTCGGCGTACAGCTCAGGTTGAGAAATTCGACACCAGGAAGTTTTTAGAAGATCCCAACCATATTTGTTCAGGCCACTATTTAGTCGTATGACTGGATTCGAAACCTATCAAAGAATTACTTCTATGTCCCGAATCTGTGTGCAACTCAAAATCAGCGACACTTGGCCTGGCACAAGTTTGACACAATGAATGTTTGCGTTATATCCTGTTTGCCTTATCATCACGAACTTAACGCATGCGAAATTCCTCCCACGAACGATTGTCATGCAAACCATACGCCCATACTGTTGTCTGCATTTCGTGCTGGGTCACGGCGCTGACACTGCGCGTCGGTCCGCAGAACAAGTCGTCGGAGAGCTGGGAGCCGGTCGGTATGTCGCACCTGGTCGAGCTGAGCGTGCTGGCGCCGCAGGGCCACGACGCCGTCGCTGAGGATGTGCGCAACTTCGCCGAGCAGCTCAAGCCGCTGGTGCAGCTGGAGAAGACCGACTACCGCCGGCTGTGAGCGGCCCGGCGGCGGTTTGTGGCCAGCGAGCTCTGGCTGTGGGCTGCCTGACCGCTGCCGATGGTCGTCCGCAGCCGGCTGTGGTCTGTCGGACCGCTGCCGATGGTCATCCGCAGCCGGCTGTGGTCTGTCGGACCGCTGCCGATGGTCGTCCGCAGCCGGCTGTGGTCTGTCGGACCGCTGCCGATGGTCATCCATTGCCGGCTGTGGTCTGTCGGACCGCTGCCGATGGTCGTCGCAGCCGGCTGTGGTCTGTCGGACCGCTGCCGATGGTCAGCCGCAGCCGGCTGTGGTCTATTGGACTGCTGCCGATGGTCGTCCACAGCCGGCTGTGGTCTATTGGACTGCTGCCGATGGTGGGCCGTGACCTGTCCTCCGGTGGTTCTGACCCGCTCGGCGCGTGGCGACCCTTCCGCCGCTGCGTCTTAGCGCGAGGTGGACCAGCGGGGCTCCGCCAGCGACCCTGAGCCCTGGGGCGCTCGCCGTGCAGACCGCCACAGTCTGTGACACGCGCTGACGGAAGATGGCGTATCTATGGCGGGGGCCCAGGACCGTGTGAGGGCGTGCGTTGTCGGCGCGGGGAGGTTCGGTCCGGCGTGGCGCGGCCTGGAATTGTGTCAGCTACGTTCTCATCACATCATTTGTAAATATAGTTCAAGGTCGGCTCATTCGTCATCGCTGTTTTTTCACCTTGTGAGCACACGGAGTGTCATGGTGCATTGCCATTGTTTTACATACGATCGAAGCTGATGCCAGTGATCTGTTGCGGTATTGTAACTGAGTCCTACGGATTCTTGCAATAAAGGCAGTCTGTGTTGCGATACACTGAAGTTTATCCTCACAAGTTTCCAGCAGATTAGACCACCGACGTGGTTAAAAACATGAGAGCATTCCGGAGAAGTCGGTGAGCATTTTGTGTATCTCAACGAACACAGTCGAAAATACATGGGCAAGCGTGCGTTGGTGCACTGTACACTTAATCACGCAGCCAGCGTTGACATCTCACGACCATAGCCTGTCGCGCCAACTGAGGTATGTATAGACAAAGGTACCCGTAAAGGCATTATATCTTCCTCGATCGTCGCGCAGCGTCGCAATGCCTCACTTCGTTAACATTGTCTTCGTCTCGAAGGTCCTGCTTTTTTCACCTTCCAACTCCGATCCCAATTGCCCGTTACCCAAACACCCGACCGCTGTCACATTCTGACGGGTTCATCCCATGCTCTGTAGTGAGCCGCGCGTCCGCGCGCCACCTCAGACCTGGGACTAGAATCGGTGCCGCCGGCTGTTGGAGGGATTCGTCAACTTTGGACAAGCGAGGCGTTCCGCGTGCAGGAAGTCAGCTGTGGTTATTCAAATTCCTTCTTGGTGAAACAGGGTCACGGAGTTATTTCGTGATGGGTTGCAATGACCTCTGAAATTCTGCGATCGGGAGGTTTGATTCGGGCTTGATGGAAAACTAACCAAGTGTCCTGCACAGCTGCGGTGCGCAACTGCGCGATCGCGACGCTACGTGTACACAATCGCCGTGGACCAGCTGCGGCAAATTCTTCAGTTAACTCCAAGCCATAACTTTGTGCACCACTCTACCCCGCCCTCTCCGCCGACATTCCACGTAAGTGAAGCGTCGGCGAAGAGGTGTCGTCTAAATTGCTGCTCCGTCTGACGTCTACTGCGACGTCTTTGCATCCGACACCTTCCAACCGAGGGGCGCTGGGACGGCGGTCCTCCGGCCCGGCGTCGCTACAGCTCGTTGGTCTCAGCCGACTGGACGCCGCTCATCTTGATCACCCAGGCCCAGCGGGCCGACACCTGCGCCAGGTCGGGGAACTTCACGTGTGCCGGCGCGCCGGGCGTCTGCCCCCACTTGAGCGGCTCGTCGTAGCCCAGCATGAACACCTTGCTGTCGGTGCCGAGCGTCACACTACCCAGCTGGACAACATCGTCGTCCGGCCAGTCCAGCACGATGGCGTAGACGCTGCCGTCGCGCTGCGTGTACCACACGCCGGGCGTGGTGCTGTCGTTCTGGTGCGTCCACGGACGCGACGCGTAGATGGCCTCGCCGCTGATGTTGAGCCACTGACCCATCTGGCGGAGCCGCTCCTCGAAGATGGGCACGATGCGGCCGTCGTGCGTGGGGCCCACGTTGAGGAGCAGGTTGCCGCCGCAGCTGACCGTCTCGGCGAGCTCCTTAGTCAGGTCGTCCATGGTGAGGTAGTCGGACAGCACCGCCTCGCGCCGGTAGCCCCAGGAGTAGCGGTCGACCGTCATGCAGTTCTCCCACTTGTGCTTCTGCAGCACGCCCGGGTTGTAGCGGTCGTGGCAGGTGAAGAAGTCGCCGTGAGCACAGCCGCAGTCCGTGCCCCAGCGGTCGTTGGTGACGACGCGGTCGCGGATCGGCGAGTCGTTGTAGAGCCAGGCGAGGAACTGCTTGCTGCCCCAGTAGTCGGAACTGGGCGCCTGGCTGCTGCCGTCCGACCAGATCACGTCCGGCTCGTAGCCATACACCAGCTCAGTACAGCTCCGGGATTGGCTTGGCCGCTGGGAACGTGACCTGCGTGAAGTTGCTCGCCTTGTCCGCCAGCCAGATCGGGTTGAAGAACTCGAACAGCGAGTGGTAGACGCCGAAGCGGATGTCGGTGCGGTTCCGCACGGCGCGCGCCAGGTCACCCACCAGGTCACGCTTCGGCCCCGTGTCGACGGCGTTCCAGTTCCAGGCGTACTTGCTCGGCCACAGTGTGAAGCCCTCGTGGTGCTTGGTCGTGAGCACCACGTAGCGCGCGCCGGCGGCGGCGAACAGGTCCGCCCACCGGTCCGGCTCGAAGAACTCGGCCGTGAACTGCGGCGCGAAGTCGGCGTACGTGAAGTTGGGCCGATAGTTGCGCTCCATGAACTCGACGTACTTTTTGTCGTGCTCGCCGCGCCAGAACTCCCAGAACCACTCGTCGCCGAAGCTGGGCACCGAGTACAGGCCCCAGTGCAGGAAGATGCCGAACTTGGCCTCATCGTACCAGGGCGGGATCGGCCGCGTGTCCAGCGACTCCCAGGTCGGCTCGTAGCGCGCCAGCGCCGCCGCGAACAGCAGCGCGGCTACGCACGCGCTTAGCGCGGCACGCATCGCGAGGCGGCGGAGAGCGCGGCGGGAGGTGGCGCTTTCGGTCGGCGCGCGCACGCCGGGGAGACTGATAATCCTCCTGTTCGGCCGAGCGCCGGCCGCTCCGTTTACGCCCCCGCGCCGCCGTATCAGCAGTCACGTGACCGAGTCAGCGCGGCTCGGTATCGGTCACGGGACAGGGACATTGCGCTCTAGCAACAGACCGAACGGAGCACGAGATTGGCCAACGCTCTGCAGAGGACGTGCAGCACTCTGCAAAGAGCAAGTGCGTGTTATCGCTTGAAACGCTCTCAACTCAATGTCTGCGTTCCTGGTCTGTTTATGTCGCGGCAACGACCTGATGTCGACCTTTGAACATCGTGGCAACAACCTGACAGCAGCCTTGAACGTTTAACAACGACCTGCTGGCGCCCTTTCAATGTCGTGGCTTTGTCCATGCGAATGTGGAAGGTTTGCCCAGCGTTTGTCATTGGGGCTCTACGATACTCAGCTGATTGTATATGACGTCGCCTGCTTCTCACCCTGGCAGGAAAGGTGGCTAATATGGTGAATCGAACTTCATACCTATTGTATCTCAGACGCACAGCTCAACCATTACACCACCGGTACCCGCATTGTCTGGTGATTTCAGTCACCGTGTTATGATTAGTAGTGCGGACTTCACTGCAGCTTTTGAGCAATATTTTATGTGGCTGAACTAGTTAGAACACACATCATGGTCAACACTAGATTTTAACACATGAAACCTGAGAAAGAACAATTTAGCATCTACTCGGCCATTATCTAATTGTTAAGATTACCGTGTCACCTCGAGACGTAGGAAACACAGACGAGGAGCAGCCTCAGAAGAGGGTGGGAAGCCAAGCATCGGTTGACAGATAGCTTTCCTTTGCGTAGGTATCATGATGGGAGACTTTTCATCGAGACTACGCTAAGCTTTCAAGCAAAGCGGGAAGTTACGGACGCATCTTCCCCATTCCCAGGCCTTGTGCGTGCACCACAAGGCAGTCCGTAGCACTTCACCGAATATCTGCCCAAATCTAATTGGTTTTATAGCATGACCGTGACTTTGCCCATTTGGTCTTAGTTTAACGTGAAAACGTAACCATCAATTCAAGAACCTCCATCATTCTATCTTTCCGCCTTTCTGCATGAAAGCAATTTTAACGCAGTTTTTATTCTGTCCTGCGTGCCTATAGAATCGACAATTATCATCCGTACGGCAACTTTTTAAATGATGCTCATCACCCCGTCAAGCCCGCCAATTAGGCCACATATACTGATGGCCACATATACACAGGCCACATATACAGCTGTGATGCGATGCGATATCTGTGCAAGTACACGCAAGTGCTTTCTTCTCCTGCGTGGTGCACACGACACGCGCTCTTGAAACGTACCCCTGGCCTCGTATCCAACGGTCTGCTGTTCAATGAAACCCATCACACTCCGGAAGAGTTTAATAATGTCCCGCGGGAAGAGTTTCATAATGTCCCTTGGCGGCTCCACGCCGGACCCGCGCCCGCTCACTGCGACGGCGCATTAACCAGTCACAGTACTGCACTATCACGTGCTGCAAGGGCGCCCGGAGAACATCGGCGCGATGCGCGAGCGTGTTCTTCGGTGAGCACAAGCCGAGGTGCCCCGGCCGTGCTGCACCGACGCCTGAGGACAGAGGCGCAGTAACGAGCCGTGCTCTGAGAGATGGCGTCCGGGCCACACGGTCGCGCCACCCAGACCAGAGATCAGTTGGCACGACCCACGCGCCGTCCCCGCGCCGCGGTCCTGTCCCACGTGCCGACCGTGCGGCGCGGTCCCGCTCCACGCGCCGGCCTGAGCCCGTCCCACGTCAGTCCGGCACCGCGGGAAGACGGACGGGGAGGGAGAACGGTCGTCCGGCGGCGGCGGCGGCGGCGGCGGCGGCGGCGGCGGTAGTGGTGGTGGTGGTGGAGCCCAGGCTCGGACCACTCACGGCGACACCTTCCGGCGAGCTGCCGCTCCGCACTGACGGCTGCGGGAGCCTGCGATCAGCCCGCCGGGGCCAGCTCCTGCCTGGGAGAGGTTCAGGACGCGATCAGGTGGAGTGGGTCCAAAGGAACGGCTGACGGGCGGGGAGCTCGGTGATGAGGCGTCGAGCTGCTGACGATTAACAGAATTGGTGGCTACTGATGATTGTCAGCGGCAGAACCATCATACACGGGCTGCCTGGCTTTGCGACACACCATTGTATAATGTACAAAACTGTCAATGCCCGAGCCGAACTCAGTTGAACCCACGCCCCTGCACTAGCCGCTCTGTCGCCCTATTCTGGGGTATTGCCCCAACCACTTACTTACTCTGGAGATAGCCTATCAGGCCCTGGAGTGGTCTCGAACCCGCCATCTCCTTTGCACTGGCCCCGTCCGCCAATTCCGCCCCTCCCGCTGTCTCCGCTGGCGAGCCGACCGCTCGCCCGTACGACGCCCAGCAGCTCACCATGCCCGTCTGCAGGTAAGCGCGCCGGCCCACAACGCGGAGGTCGCAGCGCTCGCGGTGGCCGCTCTGGATTCTTCAAGCACTTCACATTTTTTTTAGAAGAAAAATCTCCACCGCGAGCGTTTTATGCGCAGTACGAAACGGGCACAACCAGCTCGCTTTAGCAGAATTGCCCAACTTTGAAATAATACAACCCAAACAACATCTTTAGCACCAGAAATACCGAGCACGCAATTAGCATTATTCATTTTGTCGTTTCGACCATTGCTACTCACAGTGTTCGCATGATTGTCTATCATCTTCAAGAAATTGCCACCTGACAACATTATAATTTCAGCAAGAAACCAGTAATGTGATTTTTAACACGCAGGCAGCAGACGGTTTATGACATGCACTAAAAGGGCAACATAAGCACCAAATCACGAACATGCGAGAAACCGAGAAAAGTATCCCAGTTCTGCACATTCGTGTCTCGTATGGTCTGTTGGTGCGCTGAGCCTTCATACATTACATAATTTTGACCATTTTCATCAAATATTTGATAACTTACGGTCCATCGCGCGCAGATCAGAAAGGCGCCTACACTCTTGCCGTATCATTGCACTTCTTTCTACTTATTGCCTTATTATTACTCTCCTAATTTATTTCCAGTTGTGAAGCTTTAATTGATATTTCCAAACAGACAACACAGAGAAAGAGCCCATAATGTCGGTTGAAAAAGAACATTTCCAGCAATCTTAAGAAACGGACCAAGCCACGGGAACCCAACACCGAAGCCAAGCCAACGTTTTCGGTACGGTACATAAACTTCTTTTAGCGCAGTGCACCTCATGCCCGAGTCCGGATAATGTGACTCGCAGTTATTAGAACCAAGCACATCGTGGCGACAGTGTCGCTTAAACTACAACACTTGGGTTTAATTAATATGACTACTCCGTTGCCGTGAGATGCTGCCATCATGTCGTGCAGAGGGACTGTCGTAGCACCCTCTTAAAATAGTGCACCTCACACACGGGTCCAGATAATGCGACTCACGCTTATTGGAACTAAACACATCGCGCTGACAATGTCGGTGGAACTGCAAGACTTCGGTCCGATGAATAAGACCCATGCATTGCCGTGAGATGTTGCCATCATGTGCGGACGGACTGCAGTAGCACCCTCTTCAAGTAGTACACCTCTTGTGTTATTCCAATTGGCGAGACCTAAAAACCGCTCTAACATCCAAAGACATACTCTACCGAGATAATATGCCAATAGCAATCCTAAGGAAACGGACCAAGCCCCGGAAACCGAAGACTGAAGCAAAGCCAGCGTTTTCGGCACGGCACATATACGTCTGTTAGCATATATGTGCCATACCGAAACATCCAAACCGTACCAAACTCACATCCAAAGACATGCTCCACCGAGAGAATATACTAACAACGATGCCAAAGTAATAAGCCAAGCCCCGGAAACCGAAGACCGAAGTAAATCCCACGTTTTCAGTACGGTACATATGCCTTAATTGGCGCAGTGCACCTCATACACGGGTCCGGATAATGCAATTTACACTTGCTAGAAATAAATACGTCGTGCCGACAATGTCGGTTCAGTTACAACACTTCGGTTCAGAGAATAAGGCCCATGCATGGTCATGAGATGTTGGCATCATGTGCGGACGGACCGCAGTAGCACCCTCTTAAAGTAGTGCACCTCTTGTATAATTCCGATTGGCGAGACCTAAAAACCGCTCTGATGTGCAAAGACATACCCTGCCGAGATAATATGCCGACATGAACCCCAAAGAAAGAAGCCAAGCCCCGGAAACCGAAGAGCGAAGCAAAGGCAACGCTCTCGGTACGGTACATATACGTTTATTCGTACGGGGCACCTGAAACAAGAGTCCTTATAATGCGATTCACACTAAGTAGAAATAAGCACACTGTGCCGACAATGTCGGTTGGGCTGCAATACTTTGGTTCAATGAATAAGACTTAGGCACTGTCGTCAGATGTCACCATCATGTGCGGACGGACTGTAGTAACACCTTCTTAAAGCAGCGCACCTCTTGTATAATTCCAGATGACGACACCTAAAAACCGCTTTGACATCCAAAAACGTACTCTACCGAGAAAATGTGTCAACAGTAATTCTAAGGGGGCGGACCAAGCCCCGGAAACCGAAGACCGAAGCGAGGCCAACGTTTTCGGTACGGTACATACATGTTTAAAGCGCAGCGCACCTTACGCACGAGAATACTGTCTCGGTAGAGAATGTTTTGGATGCCAGAGGCGGTTTCAGGTCTCGCCAGCTGGAATAATGCAAGAGGTACACTACTTTAAGGGGCTGCTTCTACGGTCAGTCCGCGGAGCATGATGGTGGTATCTCACGGCAATGCATGAGTCTTGTTCATTGAACCGAAGTACGACATTGTCGCCACGACGTGTTTACTTCTAGTAAGTTTGAATCGAACTATAAGGACTGGTGTTTCAAGTGCCCCGCGCCGATAAATGTGCCGTACCGAAAACGTTGGCTTTGCTTCGGTCTTCGGTTTGCAGGGCTTCACCTACTTCCTTGGGGTTGCTGTCC